GCTGAGACAGTGGTTAAAGTGCTCAGCTGCTAAGATTTATACCCACCAGCTACTCTGCTGGTGAAAGATGTGGCAGTGCTTCCATAAAGATTTACAGTCTAGGAAACTCTTTGGGGCAGTTTTACTTTGTCCTATAGGGTCACTACGAGTCAGAATGGACTTGATGGCAACAGGTTGTTTTTTGGTTTTAAGGAGAGGTCAGCTGATGAATTCCAAACCCTCACCTTGAGAGTTACCATTTATTTAGGTTTTCCTCACACCTTCCCAGCTGGTAGTCTCAGTGATGATGACAGCCCCACCTACTCCTGTTGGATAGGGACAAGGCACATCCTCAATATACTCTGTCCTTTGTTTTCTTTCTATTGGAGCCCACTAAATCCTTCTGTGGCAGAAGACACCTAATGCCTCATTGTCAAACTTGATTAAGCCTGAATTCTGTTTAAGATGTAGGGGAAAATGCCACAATAGCTGATATTTCTATTTTCATACAAGTAGAGAAGATGATACAGTAGAAAGATGAGCAAATAAAGTTTATTACCACCAAGATACATGGAGCTTTTTATAGGTTTTAAATAAACGCATCTTTAAGGAAAGAGTAGTAAGCTTTCTACAGAATCTTTTAGGTCAATTGATGTAATCTTTTAAATCATCAATTTTATGCTGTTCCAGGACTTACATAGTATCTGATAATGTTTCAAAAGCACTGGAAATAACTGAAAATCAAAAGGGTATGTAATGCATTAAAAAACACAAACTATTAGGCTGATTCCACTAGGAGAATTCTCATCATTTTTTGAGGGTGAAGAGCTTAGAGAACAATTAACTTGAAACCTTTTTTCACCTTCAATGTTCTTGGCTAGCTCTATAGTATCTATCATCCTTATAGGAGGAACTCATATTTTTGATCTTTTTCCCCTAAAAGGAAAATGCTTCTTGTTCACATTATTTAATACCTTCTTTCTGTATATGATTTATAATCTAAGGGTGCCATTCAAGCGCTGTTTAGTTCTATGATCCCTTTATGTTTACATTATATAAAAATTTACAACATTTTATAGCCAAACAGTTTCAACTATAAAAAGTTACAGATTATACACAAAATGGTTAAGAGTTAGGCTTTATTGTTCTTTATTGAAAAATTAGAGCATATATTCACATTTTAAAAAATGAATAGATCCTTGGATTTTACTTGGCACAGTATTAAAACAAATCAACTGTGAAAACACTGTAAGACAACTAGGGAAAATTTAAGACCAACTGGGTTTCAGATGATGATAAGGAATGATTGTTAATTTTGTTAAGTGTGATAACAGTATTATGGTGATGTAAAATAAAGACCTTATCTGTTAGATACAGAAGTATTTACAAGTAAATCATATCTATGACATCTAGGATTTACTTTAAAATCATATAGCAAAAAAGGGGAAGAAATAAACAAGATCGGAAATTGTTGTTGTTATGTGCTGTGGAGTCCACCAGACTCATAGTCACCCCTCCTTGGGTTTCCGGGGCAGTATCTTCCTTCTGAGGAGTGGCTGGTGGGTTTGAACCGCCAGCCTTCTGGTTAGCAGTCAAGTGTCTTAGGCACTACATTACCAGAGCTCCTCAACTATGAGATTGAAAGAGTGCTGATAATTATTAAAGCTGGAGGATGGCTATATGAAGTTTCATTATACTGTCCTCTCATTTTCTGTTATGTTTGAAATATTTCATAATACAAAGGTATTTTTTAAAAATGTTTATCATAAGGGGGAGGGAAGAGGAGGGGAACAAAAGGGCCACAAAGCCATGTAAGATACTATCTATAATGAGGTACTGTTATGTTTTTCTTGCTTTTTAAAAAGAACCATGCATACCTTTCTGTAATGAAGTTTGACTTGATTCATCTTGTGCACTGTCTTTCTGAGCACTCACTAGGTCTGCAACCAGAAACTCAAGTGATTTATAGTTGCTTCCAGATGTCTGGATTTTTTCCTCCATTATTTTCTTAATGTTCTTGAAACTGAACCCCATTCGTATAGCTTCTTGGACCATAGGATTTTGAAAGATAGTATCATCTGAAATGAAAAATGGTGAAGAAGTTAAATTATTTCCATTAATACAACTCAATGGTAAAGTGTAGCTAAAATGAAAAGTTTAAGCAGCAAAAACAAAACAAAACAAAAAAACCAAACACAAACCATCAAAGCCAAAACTGCGTTGGGAAAAAGTATTTGAAATATATAGGCACTGAAGGATCATTTTCCAGATCTTATAATTGTAAATGTAGTTGATATGCACTTTTTAAGGAGTCCTGGTGACACAGTCATTAAGTGCTCAGCTGCTACCCAAAGGTAGGCAGTTTGAACCAACCTGGTGCTCTGCAGGAGAAATGTGGCAGTCGGCTTCTGTAAAGATTACAGCCTAAGAAACCCGACCAGACAGTTCTGCTCTGTCCTATGAGTTGGAATCCATTCTAAGGCACACAATGTGTTTTTAGCACTTCCAATCATTTGAGATAAAGTGCTTTAAAGACTCTAATGGAACAGTGCAAGAAAGGTAAGAAGAGTTGTTCAATGTGTCAAAAAATCTGAACTTTTTCAAACCAGCTGTATTCACTAACAACTAACCTAAAGAACTTAAAGAGGCTTGGGACCATAGTCGCAGGGGACATCAAGCTCAATTGGTGTAACATTCTATACAAAACATTGTTCTACCTCCTACTTTGGTGAGTAGCAATTGGGATCTTAAAAGCTAGCAAGCTGCCATCTAGATGCAACGATGGGTCTCTCCTC